CCGGGTGGCAGAGGGCGATGAGCAGGTCCTGATCGCCAACTTTTTGCAGCCTGCCTCAGTCTCCCAACAGCCTGCCGGCCCTTGGTAATTTAGACGACGACCAAGCCGGTATAATTTTCGATGACGTCAATACCAGAAAGGGCAGGGCATCGACTTCGCCATGATTGGGTTTGGGACCAAAAACGGCGGATTTTTTTAACGTATTTCATATCCATAAATTAATTATGATCCGGAACTGAGATAATTTTCGAAATAAAGCTGTTTGGGGTGTTCAGTGTTTCTGTCGTTTTCCGTTTCATTGAAATGAGTTTTAATGCTAATAAAGTGTTCAAGATGATAAAAATTATTTCTAAATAATTACTTGTTTAGTTAAAACCAAGAGGAGTCACTCCGTCAAAGAAAATGCTGTCTAATATATGCTCGAGTAGCTCAACGTTCATTAAACGACAAAGCCCGAGAGTTCTTAAAAAGGTGGACAGGTTATTGTGCATTCAACTTTAGCAACCAATGTTTTAAGGATAGGCAGGCGTTAATCGCTGAATTATTTCATACTCAGGAATTAAAACAAGAAGAAGCCGCGAAACGACGTGAAGAACTTCTGCGACAAAAGGTTGAGAAGCAACGAAGGTATGAAGATTACCCATCTAATTATTAAAAACTTTTCAATGCTACAACTGCACAGGGAGGACGAACGACGGCAACAGAAACTAGCTGCTGCAAAATCGTCTAAAACTCATGCCGATGTTTTGCAGCCTACGCTTCAACACAAAGGCGCTTCCGCCCTGAAGAATTCTTCCCGACATCTTGCGGCTAAGGCTGTCAAACCAGTGGAGATGACACAGAATAAAGTATCAAAAGTCGTTAACAAGTATGTTGAATGCCGTTATGGTTGGTTGCTTTTCACTAACATGATCGTTTTAAGAGTTCCGGTAATCCCGCAGCAACCGTCAAAAGCAGTCACTCCAGCAAAGGTAAGTTTTCAAGTGTTGTTTTTGTTTTGTCTTCGTCATACGAGGCTGAAGGAGCTTAAACAACAGTTAGATATGGAATTTCAAATTATTACGTACTCTTTCTTGCTGCAGCAAACTCATGCCGCAACATTTCTGCCTCAACGGTGTTTCGTTTTTGCACTGCCGTTAAAATCGAGCTTACGACCAATAGGTAATTCTCTCGTAGGA